CCCCCCCCCCCCCCCCCCCCCCCAAGCAGATGAAATCCAAGTCATGTATTGCAGAGCTTACTACGTACTCGCCACAACATTACCAAATTGCAGGCTTAATTTCTTAGTTTTGACCAACTCTTTTGTCACTCCGTACGAACTCTCACAGAAATGTGGGACACGTCATCGCCTAGCCAACATCACGTGCAAACTCGCGTACGGACCAGGTGCGAGAACTCACCGACATTAACCAATCAGAGGGGCCCACTTGTTTTACCGGATCCGCCATGTTGATAATGACTAAGTTCCTTCCTGTACACTCGACAGACGGGCTACGTCCCAAATAAACGTATTCCTCCTCGCTCGTCTCTTTCCTCCATAGCTTTGCAATAGCTTAGCTAGTTTGGGAAGTCCATCGATAGTAGAGATTACTGAGTAAAATCTAGGCTTATTGGTGTAGCAATCCGCTACAGAAAACTCAGTTAACAGCACCAACTTAACTCAAATAGGGAAAGTTTACTGAAAAAATATAAATAAACCAAACAAAACTATCAAAATTTAATAAATCATGCCTTCTTTATCGATTTTACAGGTTTTTTCTTATTATCTATAAAAGTCTTGCTTTTATTTTACAAATAGCAGTTAATCTAATCGAGGATTTTTAGATTAACTTTCAATCACCAAACTTTCTAATAAAATAAATATATGAAAATATATTTATAACAGATCGAAGAAAATTAAATAACTAAATAAAGTGTGTTGAATGATTTAAGTATTGCAAGTTTTTAACCCATATGGAACTATTTTACTATTCAATTGATTCAAATGACCGCACATTCGGAAAATTTGTTTACGAGAAGCAATTCGTACTTTCTCACTGACATTTATTTCACTAAATGATTGAAAGTTGTATCGCGAGTATTTTACAGTATATGGAAAACTGAAGCTCCGTAATTCAAGCTTGGATATTTGGTTCCTCTTCAAATTCCAAGCTTTGTATATGCTCGTAATTGAGACGTAAACAGCTCCGAGGCTATCATTAGTCATCTCAGTCAAACACTTGACAGCAGATTATAATCGTAACCAGTTTCGCTGTCTTAAAATGAGGTGATCAGAAAGCTAAACTTAATAAGAATTTAGTCCTGTTGTTCATCTGAGATCTGAGATTCTAAGACAAGCTGTTTTAAGCATTTAGTTAGTCTATTCATAAGTGAGCTTAATTAAAGTAGCATCCACAAGCGTATATCTGTGGGATATAAAAGCTCCAATATGGTGTGACGAGCTAATCAATTACATTTATCGCTAAACTAATTCTTACTTTTGTCGCCATACACCCACTCAGAATACCTTGGATCAAGTCATATTACACTGTGAATACTGCTCTCCTCATCTTTTAAGTGAAAAGATCAATGTTAGCGAATTCCAAATGCCATAGGACTCTTTTACAATTTTTCTTCTAACCGGACATTTTATGATTTCCGCGTATGCATTGAGTAAACTTGACAATTATTTTTTTGTTAGTGAAACGATGCAATGTTGACAAAATAATTAGAGGGTTTTGTTCTATGTCCTACTTATTTATTTGTCCAAAAAGCATTTATGTCAGATACAACGATCATAACAGCGGATTTATTTCAGATTTTTTGGGGCAAGTAAGTCCAATCAATTTGGTTGCAAAGTAAAGTAAATAAAAAGAACTCGCTACTGAAAAGTGATAAGTACAATCCTAGCATCATTCTCCGATTTTCCTTTGATAGATCAATGCATACAGGACTGGTTTGACAGATGTTTCCAATATATTTACTCAAGTTTTAATCGATAGCATTCTATGGTAAGCTTAATTCTCAGAAGCTCTTGTTTCACCTTCAAGATATTTAGTTAGAAAGCGTAACCCGATAAATCTATATAACAGACGTCAATTACCGGACTTCGAATAAATTGAAATAGTGTCTAAATGGAAACTGAGATCAACAACTAACTTGCCACGTCTAGGAGTTTTCAAAGTTCAACTATTAGCTTGTAAAGCTAGTCTCAGTAATTCGGCGGGTTTTCTAATTTCCATTCAACCTTTTCAAATAAGAAATCTGACTTTATTTATGCACTTCGTATTGGCAACAAAAGATGAAAGAAATTACTCTTCGTTCCTGCAGTTTAGCAAATAAAATTTTTTTAGGCTCTTCACATTATAAATTGATTTTCTATTCACTGTGCGGTGCTTCTAACAGGTTTGTGCAACTGGATTTATAATGAAATTCACAGTATCATCGTAATTCCGTACTATTTCTTTCTAATATCTATCAATCAAGAAGCTTTCATCGTTCACATTTACGCTCTGAGATGAGATCACTTCTCTTCTGATTCTGGTAAGTTTTTCACTGAATTTTGTTTCGTCGCAACATCCTAATATCTGAGAGGTGCAATATCAAGACAATAGTCAAGACTCTCTTGAATCTCTTAAGTCAAGTGGTATGGCCATTTTCTCGTGTTAAGGCAGAATTCTAGGTCAACAACCGTTTGAACCTAGTGTCAAGTTTATCGGTACTCACGAGCAGGCCAGCGAATACTCCTACTGATTGTGTCCAACAAAAGGTATAGTAAGACGATTTATAAATATATGACTTCTTCTTAATAGAGCAAAATTTTGCCAAAAGTTACTTTGTAGAGGAAAATTTTGTATACTAAATAAGCACTTAAATAAGCGAATGAGTATTGTATAGACTCTGGAAACGAAGTCGGTTTCTAGCTATGAAAAAAGCACAACTTTCAAATAGTAAGATTTAAAAAATGTCAAAATAAACGCGATCAAGTATTAGTCAGAGTCGATGCAAGACCGCTATAATCTTTAGGGGATAATCTCCTTGATTTACATCAAAAAAAAACATTTGTGCAGATATTGCTAACAAATGAGCATTAAAAATCAAAACAGGAAGGACCCATCAAATATATTGTTTATACAATAATCTATTCAACTATTGCTACTTTACAGTAGATGAAAATGTTTCGACGTCATACAAAATTAAGACCATTTTACATGCTTCCAAATCTTCCTGCGAAACTTCCATGGAGTTCGCGGTTCACTCATAATTTGAGCCTGACGATGACGAGCGTGAGTTTTACATTCCACATATAATCTATTATCCCGTCTTTCAAAGAAGCAGTCACGGCATCTCAGACGAAGGCGTTCCTCAGTTTTGTAGTTTCGAACAAACGACTGTGTTGGTGATACGAAAGAAAAGTAAGATCCAACTAGCGACCTTGAGTTTCCAATTAATTGAGGAAACAACGAACTTCTAAACGATAATAGACATGCCCCAAATTTCTGAAGAGACATCGAAACAGAGTTATAGCACCCACATCAACCAATTACAAAACGACCTACAAATGTGACTGCCTATTGGTCAATTATGTGAATCAAGTCAATAGAAGTTTGCAGTCCAATTAGCAGACACACTCTCAATCAGATTTTTATTATTTTCAGGCCATAGTTCAAATTATTCTGATTGATAGGGTAAAAATCAAGTTTATTCATATATTTACTTTTCCTCAAGGAGATGTATTTTGAAGTCGGATTAAACAACAATCAAAATTTTCATACTAATTCGTGCTTGTATTTCGAATTATCGTTTATTTATAACGGCTATGGTAAACGAATTGATGCGTATTAATATGTGATTTCAACTAAATATCGCATTTATGCGTCATAATAATGTGCCCAAATATTGCTAAACTCTAAATGCCCTTCAATATTAATATGATCCGGTTGGCAATTTTGAAAAGCACAATAGGCTTAATGTTGTGCTAGTTATAGTAACAATCCTTTTGAATCGAATCTAAATTCGAAAAAAACTTTAGTATACCAATGAAATTATATTTAACTAGTTCCCAAAAACACTTTCCCATATACGGCAATTTTATTTTGTCCCCGTTGTTATTGGCTTCACAAGCAGTCAAATACACAATCATTGAATGAAATTGTGCTTAACTATTAGATACTATCATACGCTTAAAAAGCGTTTTCTATTGAGTGATTACTTTTATAATAAATACTAACTAACGCTGTATATGTTGTTTACATTTTAGCTATATATGTAGCTTGCAGAATTTGCCATGCTAATCTAAAAGCAAGGTGAAAACAAGAAATATTGCAAAAGCCTGTTTAAATTTTTCGAACCTCCCACGACCAAATGTGTTTTACTGTCCTATTTCGTATGGCCTGGATGTTATAGCGTTTTGTCATCCTTACTGTAATGTAATAAGCTTCAAACGCCCAGACCGGAAAGAGCGGCTTAGATAGACATAACCAATAATAGGAACACTAAAAGGTATAATGATAACGCACAAATACACTTTGATAGCCGGTTCAACACTAGTAATGAATTTAACTTTCTATTATCCGTTTTATGTAATATCGTTGAAGATATGATAAGCACATTTCGTCCAACAACATCAGAGAGCGGGAAGCAGAAACGAGCATAAATCAGAATTAATCCATTTCAATGTAATTTGTCTCTGGAATTTTCTACTTGTTGTTAAAAGTTGCTTTTTATCGTTTCCTAATATTCATTTGCATATAAAATAATGTATATATTGCCTTCGGAAGAAAATAGTCTTATTTCATATCCTTGTCTTCAAAAAAATGTATATTCGAATTGAATTGTACAGAAAATTGGTCAATGTAAAACATTTGAAATATTCAGTTTTTCTTGCAGGAGGAATTATAAAAACTCTCCTGTCAAAATTATGCGTAGGTGGCAAATATGAATATAAACTACGGTTAGCTACAAAATGATAAATAATAGTATCATTATGGGGCTACTATCTTCAATGAACATCTCCACTTCCGATTCAATTACGTATTATAGTATTAAATTATCACTACATTTGAATTTTTCATGCGAGACAAACTGTAAGAGATGGGGAGGGGTGTGCGATAGACTTTCCTCCACGTGGGGCACCCTGGGCAACGTATATTCATACGGCAAAAAAGTCTATTAAATGGTAGTTGACTTCTCACCTCAAACTACCATCACCCCACTGTATGTCATAGTCGACTTCTTCACAGTACTCGTCTTACCTTTTTCTCTACCTTTGTGTCTCTCTGCCTATTTTACATCTGTGAATCGTTCTTCTGTTCCCCACCCCTCGACTTTCTGCTACTTTGATGAACCTTCCCTCTGTGAAGCCCAAAGTCAGCTAAATGGCTAATGATAGCTATCAAAACGCCTGCCATTTGAAATAAATAAATATCTGTTGAGACCTGCACTGTTTAATTATATTTTGATTTTAGTACCAGCAACTATGCTATCTACCCTTACCTTTACCCATTCTTCCTATTGCTCCTTCTATTCTCTACCAGTCTCACTACCAAATCAAGATAGAGAAAAAGAAGACAAGACCGTGGTGAACAGGAGTTATTAAGAGAAAATAGCGAACGAGAGTAGTCAATAAAAAGTCATAAGCATGGCAGCAAAAGAATTTGGTCCTCTGTTTTGCCCTAAGGTCAATAGTGATTCTCAGCCAGTTTTTACCACTACACCAGTCTCAATGTCTGCTCACCAATCTCCACCATACCTCCCCCCACCCTCGTCCTCCAAATGG